AGCAACAATGAGCACATTGTCAAGATTGTGGAACCCATGCAGGTCAAGTTTGACAAGTACTGGGGACCGATGGAAGACTTTGCAGCGATAACTCTGATTTGTGATCCCCGCTACAAAACTGAACTCCTCACCTTTCTCCTTGCCAAAGATCTGGGCTCCGTGGCTGCTGAGATGAGCGTTACTGAAACAAAGAAAAACTTGTACACATGGTTCACCAGCTATGCTACTAGCAATGGAGTGCCCAATCAAAGCACTTCCCCCTCCAACAAAGACACTGATATCCAGTGCCTTACCAACGACCCAGACGACGAATTCAAAAAGTATCTTGCCGCCAAAAATTCAACACACCAAGTCTCCCCCACTGCCAAGCTTGATCTGTATTTGCAACAACCAACTGTTGCCATAACACAAGGCCCCCCTCACTTTGATCTTCTCAAATGGTGGAAAGAACATTCCAATCAGTACCCAAACCTCGCTCGGAGGGCCCAAAACATCCTCATGGTCCCAACAACCTCGATAGCTTCTGAGTCTGCCTTCTTGACCAGTGGCTGAGTGTTGAACAATTATCAAAGCAGGCTTGCTCCTTCCATGGCCGAGGTCTTGATCTGTGGTCAGAATTGGTTGAATGAACCAATTGACAACAACGAGGAGGACAAGGAGGAGTAAGGAAGTAATTTCCTTTTATTTTTATAACATCTAAATTAGTGACTATCAATCTAAGACTATACATGGCCCCTGCTTGAATGATATCTCCCCACCTATCTGCTCAAATCACACTATTGTACTACCCTACCTATCCACATGAATTCTAGGGCTCTGCCGATCAACATAAATGCTATTATACTTGACCATCAATCATCCCCCTCGCCCCACCTGAGCCCCAATACTTTTTTTGGTGGGAGCCCCGTTGGGCGCCCAAGACCCAACCCGTGCCCAGCCCGAGCCCGACCCCTTCGGACAGCGGGTTGGGTGTGGGCACGTGTTTTGCCTGAGCAGCCTGGCCCGCCCCTGCCCACCATTGAAGGCGGGTTGGGTTTGGGCAGCACTTTTGGGCCCGAGCCCGACCCATTTTCACCCTGAGATTGGACCCCCAAGTGTGCATTTTGATGGTTCAATCCCATGTGTATAGGATTGTATGCCATACTTATGGGTCAGAGGTCTCATCCTACCTCATGTTTATGCATGGTTTAGGTGACGGGTCCAAATGACCCACCTGCAAAATGAAAAAAATTAAAATTGGCTGTGGCTGGGCCAAAAAGCTTGTCACTTTAAATTTGGAATCTACAAGGTCTGTACTAGTAGATTCCAAAAATGTGGTCGTTGTAATGTTTGGCCCCCCGCGGAAGCACCGTTTTCCCCCAAGTGAGGCAATTGTCATTTGAAGACAGCTGTGTACAGAGGAATGCCGCGCGCAACTGTACATACTGTCCAAAAGACTTCAATTTACACTCTTTTTATGATGATGATTATTGATAATAATTACAATCTTTATTATTAATAATTACACTCTTTAGTATTAATTATTACACTCTTTAGTTACTACAGAAAGGGGAATTTTGACAAAATTGAGCAGTATGACCTATCTCAAGTCATTGGAAACACTGAATATGAGATTTTTTATAATGAGCACCAGTAAGCTAAAGTCTGTTAAAGAACAAACTTCCCTTCTTAATTTTTTTTGAAAGTTATTTATCATGGAAGTTAACAATGATTGAACCAAGAGATTTTTTGTTGGCCTGGGGATTACCCAACCAATGAGCACTATGAATATGATCTGGATGAATGTGATTTTACTTAAAAAAATTGGCAAGGGATGAAGGATTAGATGGAGTGAAGGAAATAGAAACCAAATGAAAGATAGCGGGGAAGGTGGAAGGAGGTGTGACAAGAGTGGGGTCCCACAACTGTGTCCACTCATGCTTATGTTTGAGAAGCCAGTTGGCCCAAATCAAGATTGAGTAAAATATTTGAGTTGCCAGAAGGGAGACGTGCTGCCCTTTTGATAGAGATGGATGAGCCATCTGTTGAGATCTGATCTCGATCCCTCGTATACTCTGGTAGTGTTTTTCCTAAGATGACTTGTTTATGTAATCAGTCAACTGCATAATGACATTATTGTCATTTCTCAATTCTTCTCACATATATAGAGTTCTTTTTTTGCCAAACTTGTTTCCTCCCTCTCTATGACTCCAGAAACATTACTCTTTCACTCTTCATCTTAAGACTGATTCTCATCACTGGTCTCATTGCTGTTGTTCTCTCTTCACTCACATCAAACAACTTCTACATTACTCTTCTCCATTTGACTGCCCGTCGATTCTTGCATCCTTCCCTTTGACTCTCCACTGATTCACATACTTCCGCCAATTCTCATTCTGTCAAAACAGTTCTCTTATAGTGGTAGGTTTTGGTCTCATCATTTCACTCTATTGACTGGATCACTATCTCTCCTGACATTCTTCCTTATCAGTTGTTCTCTTCTTCTTTTCTTTCCTTGTCATTGTCGCGTCCCGTGTACAGTTGCTCCTGCCTGAAGGTACTACTTCTTTTTCTTCTTTTTCTTTTCTATTGTATTTCATCTTTTTGTTATACTAACTTAGAAATACAATCCTTTAGTTTGACACTTAACAACATCATCTGTCTTGGCCTCAATTTCTTTGAGAACCTTATTGACTTTGTCAGTGATGTCTGAAACTTACATTTGGAAAAAATGATGTGAATCTGGGAGAGTTTTGAAAATGACAAAAAACGCAGATTCAATCTCATTAAGAACACAGTTGAAAGGAAGAGGAAAATTAACAATAATGTGGGGATCCCATTTAATTTAGGTATTGAAGCCCTTGGAGGAGATGACTTGGATGAGGATTTAACAACTGAGCAACACTGGGCCAGCTACGCTAACCGTAGCGGTTAGCGCAGAATAACGTAGCAGAATTCTGCTCAAATTTGGCGTAGCATAGCGGAATTCTGCCACATCCACGCTAACACTACGCATGCAGGCCCTTGAAAAGTGCCTGCTACGCTGCGCTAACGTGCTGGTTAGCGGTGTTTTGGCTGTGTAGCGGACATTAGCAGCCCATAGTGCAGCTTAGCGTAGAGAAAAGTTGCTAACTTTTCACTAACACTACGCAAATTTGGTGCGCAAAAAAGACCGCTACGCTAACGCTTTTGGGGAAAAAGGCGTAGTGTAGCGTAGCGGCCCAGTGCTGAACTGAGTTAAGTGATCTCTCAAAAGAGTCTAAACAAGCAGTGATCTTCTCTACCAAATATAGAGTTTGAACACTAGCAATCTTCTTGATCTCAAAAAGAGGAAGCAGAGTGTTGACTTTATCAGGATGTATGAAGATACTCCCATTGGAGTTCCAATTAGCAAAGACCTCTGTGATCACTTTAAAGAATCCATTCTCAGGCTTATGGCGGGACTTGTTGAGAGGAGAATTTTGGGTAAAGTCCAATTGAAATGGGGTTTGAGAACGGTCAACAGCAGACCCAGAGGGATCAACTTCCTCCATTTCTATGGTCTTTGACCAACCCTCTGGGAGGCATAGACTGACCTACACAACCCGGAGTATAAGGGTAAAACCTTAAGGTTTTGGGGGGATTGGAAAACTCAATCTTTCAAGAGGTTAGAAGGGTAAGGGATAAACAGGGATAGGGGAGGAAGATACGATGATTACAAGATTGAAGGGGTAAAAGAGGACTTGGAAGATACTTTTTAGGTAGTTTTTTTTTTGGATTTGATGTTTGGATGAATGGAAAGGTGGTCAATTTTTAGTGGTTGATGATGAGTTTTTAGACTCATCGATTGATGTTGATACAGGGAGTAGGAATGAGGACTCGAAAAAGGGCACATTTTGGAACTAATTTCATGTCTATGTCACATGTGGTTATGTACCATTTTTGATCGGTAGTCCGAGCCTGTCACCGTTTTCTGTGACATCAGAATGAAACCCCTCCTGATGTTCCCGACCCAGCTTGTCGATCAGCAACGGCTGCCCCTGCTAGTTACAACACCAACATCACCCCGCCCCTCAACAAATCACATTCGACGGTTTCCAATTGATCAGGGGAAGTCACGATGGCAAACAGTAGTAATGCTGAGCACTCCTCAGAGAAAGGAAAGGGGGTCGAGATGACGATCGAAGGAGATGAACAGGTTTACCACAACCCAAAATCTCAAGTACGACTTCAACAACCATTGATTGATCGAGTAAGGAAGTTTAAGATATCAGTTTATTATCAATGAAAAGCGCTTTCAGAGGCTGACCAGAAAGTCCCATCATAGCTCTTCGAGGTTTCCGATGACCATCCAAGTGCTTCTCGTCAAGCTATACTGGATTCATCAATCCAACAGAAGTTGAAAGCCGATCGAGAACGGTTGAACCAGCTAGGAAGCGAAGTCGATTCGAAAGTTCGCGAAGCATTCCGGAAACAAAGCTCTTCCCAGCAAACCAAGGATGATGACAAATCGAACTCAAGCGCCCAATTGATGGAAGAGATTTCGAGCATCAAGGAGAGAGTCCAGCAACGTCGCAATGAAAATACGTCCGAATTCCTTCCCGAAATAACCCATGCTAGGAGCGCCATCGTTGCTTGTTTAAAGTCAGTCATTCTTCAGCTAGGTTCTCGACATATCGTCCATCTCCTTATGTACCAACCCATCTTCTGACAAGCTTTTGCCTTCCATAGACAATACCAAGACGAACCCTTGAAGTGCACTGAACAAGTCAATAACTTCAAGAAGGTAGTCAGGAATCTCGAATCAGTGCGTGTTGTTTCACTCTACTTCAAATGCTCTTCCTTGCGATCCACCTTCCAACCACTGATGTTGTTCTCCTTCTTTGCTACTTGATTGTAGAAATTTGTAACTTCTATGCAATAAAAACAAGCAGTCCTCTAGGTTTAAATTGCCTACTCCTACATGTTCAATCTCTCACAGATCATCTCTTCATGTATTTATCGTCAATCTAGATCGGCGTTGTTCTGCCAACATTTCATTTTCTTGAAAGTGATGCCTAACACTCCACCTCCAAATTTCAGCCTCTCTCTGCAGTTTAATTCAGTTGGGCTTTCCCACAGGTATGACACCAGCGTCGCTAAAACATTACTGGATTGGCATATCCTTGTGCACGGGTAGAAAAAACACTGAATTACAATCGCTCCGGGATTTCAATATTGGCCGTATCTCAAACAGCGGGGTCTTTCGATGTATCCACATTTTTAGATGATTTTCCCTGTTGAAAACAAGCTAGCTATGTGGGTCACAAGGGTCCTTGCTAAATCCTGCTCAATACCTCAAGGTCCGCACATGTCATATCAATTAAACCAAGACTTCCTCTCATACCTTGCCCATTCCAACGGTATTTGATTTGCAGATGCTGCCCTACTATCCTCACACTGTAGTTCGTGTCTTGCAACACCAAAGAAATGAAGATGTATTGGACACAGTTTGCTGCTGGAACATAATGTGGGGAAAATTGGTGATGCCAAGAAACACATGTCCAACTCATGTGCTACCTAACCTGTATATACAATGATCCATTATTTGCAAGTAAGAGTTGCCCTAACAAGATCTTGGAAGTAGGCATCACACATCAGTCCGTATTTGGATAGTGAAATGGTTTTCAATAATCATTAACACAACACACTCTTCATACATCAGCCAAATAGGTCTGCACTATAGAATTGTAAAATGGTATAAATTGGTGGGTGAATTCTGAGGAGTTTTTCAACAATTACAAGACATTGGAATCCCTCACATTGAAATAGATAATATCATGATTGGAGTTGTCTGGGCATATGATCAAGTTTCAGACCAAGTTCCTGTGTGCTCTGTTGCCAGCTTCTATGGGCCAAATGTTGGAATAAACACAGCTGGAATTCCTGTCTATGTTTCCATTATGAGACCTGTCAAGAGCCTAATTTTTTTTTGTCTTTCTTTCTTAATGAAGCAGTGTAAACTTACTTGGATGATAGCCAAACCTGTATAAGGACATAACTTTTGGGGGAAGGATTTTGGTATGCCTTTAAACAGGTTGTGCCCTGAGAGAGCGTGAATCTAAAACAGAGACAAGATTTGGGAGAGGCCCTTCACAATGCCCTTATACAGGTTATGCGCACAGATGGGTATGTCCTTAGACAGGTTTGACTGTAAAGAGAGTAATGGAAATATAGTTTGAAACCCAAAATAAAGAAACATTGTTTCCTGAAAATTGAAGACTACTGAAATTGCACAATTTGCAACATTGTAAAGCTTTAGAAACTCACAGGATGGCATAGAGCTGCCCCGCATGATTCATGGTTCCAGATAAAATCCAAATGATATAATCAAGAACCATCAAGAACTGTTGCTTGTGTATTTCAATTCAACAAGCACCTCAAGCAACTTGAAATGGCTGTTGAGTAGGTTTGATCAGTCTAAGAGCTAGCTGATTTCAAGCCCAATTTTAGGACCGAGAGCTCAACAGCTCATCAGAGCTAGTACATATTGGAAGACTATTACCTTGATTTAATGTCCTCCAGAAATATGCGGTAATACTATGGAGGCTGAGTCCAAGCGTCTGATCTTTTTAGGATTTTCAACTTTTTTGCATTGACAAGGCTGGCATTGTTGTTCCCTCACTGTGTAGGTCTTGTGATTCTAGACCGGTTGATTGAGTCGAATTGAGCCCGGCCCCTACCTCCTTCTGTTGATTTAAAACGCTGCATGGTTTTGAATGGGTGAAGTTACTCATTCTCTAGAGTACCCTAGGGAATCAAGACAACTTTGATTCTTATGCGAGTGGGGTAAAAATATTGCGACGCATTGAAACCTATTGAAACAATACCATTGGTTCATGGGCAGAACTTCAAAAACTCTCAGGTGTAGGGATCGATAAACTTTATTCGGTGACAGCGTTGCCACTGTTATGTATTCGAAAATGGTTGAAACTCGTTGAAAGCTCTACATGTCATGGGGAAAATCGTCACTTCTCACCTCGCGACGTTTTAAAGGCTTCGTTGTAAGACTTTATGGTCTCCCTGCTTGTTTATTTCCCCCCTGGTTTCTCATTCCATACCTCTCAGCGGATTCGCTTCGTATGTATTCCCGTTTACGACGATGTTGTATTGTTGCATTATATGTGAGTTTCCAACATCACACGGTTACTGCCATTTCAGCATGGATTATGAGTGAGCCATGTAGGTGGAGTATATTTCTACGGATAACGAGCCAATCAAAATCGACTGTTCAAATAGTCGAAACCTATCCGGCAAATTTCCACCCCAATCGGGTGGTACCAAGAGGACTTGCCTTTGAACTTGAATGGTTGCAAGAGGATAGATCGAAAGTACGTGTTGTTGAGCGCACAAATGCGATGAATCACAGTGCTAGACTTAGGGTATCGTGTTTGATCAGAAGGGAGTCGGATGCCTCGTCGCCAGATTCTCGAAGTTTCTCTTTGGTCAAGTCATAGTTGGCTGTATGATGTTGTGAATCATGATCAGCTCTACACCTTAATGTGATCCGTTTAGATCCGTTTGTGCCACAACATTGATCATCACCTCGGTCCAGGCGTCACGTTGGACCTCATCATGCTTGACTGTCTATTCAGTAGGATCAAACAGGATGAATTGTGTGTTAAGTTTTTTCGATGAGGTTGCTCCCGGCGACGTCGAGTCGAATGATCAAGATCTACAACAATCCATCACAAACAAGATGTGTTGGTGTTTGGCCTATGTACCAACTCTTCGTTTTTTGAGAGACCCCAAGTCGCGCCGGTGGGATTGGGTGCCGGTGGTCAGTTAACAACGAGTTTTAAAAATTCCCGCCCGATACAAATCTTCCTACGTCGGATACCGTGTGTGTTTGTCTGCAAACTCGGCAATGTGTCAGTGTTTGGGAGTTTCTACAACTGGTTACCGAACTAAAATCCCCTGTTGGCTGGAGTCCACAATCGAAGGGTGATCCCATGTCGGTCCTAAGATTTAAGCCGGGCCATCAACCCATCTTCGCCCTGAATTCCCCCACCCACACTCTTACCAACCTGTGAATAGGTCAACGCTGAAGTCAGCTGTAGTTGATGCCCTGTGACGATTAATGATTACACCCTGAAAACTTCGACCAATCTATTTAAAAGTCTTACAAAAAGTCTTCAATCAAGACCTTAGTCTGCCGTATCACCCTGAACGAAGCCATACAGATAGTTACCGCCTATTCCATTTTCCTGATGAACCTCAGCCGCGAAAATAGTCAAGCGCCCACCTGTTCATCCACTCTCATGTCTGATGATGGGCTGTCACGTCTCGAGATTCTTAGTTCTGTAGCCAACGTAGATTCCCTCAAGGATATTAGCTCATTAGAAAAATTGTCTCAAAACGAAGCCTCAGTGATCGAACTGCTTAACCACTATTCCAAACGTAAGCTCCAGGGTTTAATACTTTGGGTTGGGCACCGAGCACCGTAAAGAACGAGGCTAATTTCCCCCTATTTCTACAGTGTCCGGTGATACCCCTACGAATGCTCAAGCTGCCCGAGAGGTAGTGGTAGCATGCCGCCAATCACAGCTCAATTCGAAAACCGGGAAATCTGAGCTTCAAGGCCACGGAGCTGGCTCATTCGACCGGTTGATCTACCTTCTTGACCGCTATCTAGATTATTGTAGCTCGATAAAACTTGCAGCCTGGCCGATTGACCACTTGAAAGTCAGTATCTGGATCAAGAATGATGTCACCTTGACCACGAATAGTACTCGCATGAAACCCCTCAGGAAAACAGTCAGATGTTACGTGACTTCCTTGGAGTCCATCCGCGTCAAAACTCTTCACCTCTTCAAAGGCATCCATCTTCCGGTGCACCTGATGAAAAGCAAGATTATCCTTGAAATCCTGAATAGTCTTTCAGTCGAAAGGGATAATTTGGAAGAGCGCCTTGGAGGAAATCTCGGCCCCGTGGAGCAACCAGTTGGCGCCGGGGAAGCTCAATCAGAGCGCGATTCTCTACTAAACGAAATACGCTCGCGGTCTGGAGGTGAGATTGATCATTTTTTGACTCCGAGCTACGCCAATCGCACCGCACCGGTAACTAACCCTTTACGTGCGAATTCGCAGACGAGTGGAGCCAGCAGGCGATGGAGATTGTGAAAGCTTCTCGTGGAGGGGAGCAAAGCGAAAGCGGCGGTAAAACCAGGGGAAAGGCTGCCGATCCACACATTCACACGTTGTTCAGGTGTGTGCACATTCAACTTTACGACGCAGGTTGTATGATACCGAACTGAGCTTCTCATTCCAGCAGATATCGAAACTACTGTTTCCTCAACAAGATTCCGATGTGGCCAATCGACCCACCCAGAGTGGCCTTGTGGCTTAAAGAATCAGTTCTGGTTGGTGACCCCCGCAACAAAAGCAAAAAGTCGACCGTCAGCTTCAGGACGGTGCAGGTATATCTCTCCCGGCTCGAATACGCGAGGCTGAAAACAGAGCATCTGTTTAGCGCATTCGCCAACTGTGGGGGTTCATTGTACAAGTCTAACGAAATCGTCGAAATCTTGAACGAGTTAAATGGCCACAAGAAGAGTGCGCAGTGTCCGGTGATGAAGGACGAAGAAAATGATTCGACAGCCCAGGTCATTCTATCATCAGAGGATTACGTACCAGTCTCACGCAGTTCCTCCCAGGCCACCGAAGACTCGCCGACATTCTCTCTCACCGTTGAGCCATCACCACCAAAACGTGCCGGTCTACCTTCACTCTTACCTTCACTCCCTCCGTCGCACTGGTCTCACAGTAAGAAGAGGAAATTCTCAGCGAGCCGAAATGTTTCTCCAAGAAAGATTTCCAAGGTCGACATCGAGAACTCGCCTGGGCTGAAGCCAAATAATCATGACAGGGAAATTTGCGGAGAGCCGCGATTCGCCCGTCAGGGCTCTAACGGCCCGCGACGAACTCCATCCTTCCTATTGGAGGCCGATCGCAATAAGCTGTCTCGCAACACTAATATTAGCGCAGTAGGACCCGCTTCACCAACCGGGGGTGGCTTGACTTTCCCCTCAATATCCGAATGGTTTTCGCCTCCACCTTCCCCGGCAAAGGGAAAGAAAGGATGCATATCTTTTATATTGTGCTCCGATGAAGAGTCCGAACGAAGTTACACCACCGCCACTAGCTACGAGGTTTCGACTCCGCATGTGACACCAACTCGTCATGCTGTGAACAAAGTGTTTCCTATGACGCCGAGCAGATTGCTTGAGTCACCAACTTGTAATCGCTTCTGGGCCCATCCTCTCAGCGGTCTTAATCCATCCTGACAATTGGTGATAGATGTAGTCGACCCCACAATGCTTTGTCATTTTATTTATCATGCTGAACGATTCTCTAAAATATTAATACCCAGTCCGATTTCTTCAACTTGAGCCTTTTAACCAAACTTTCTCTATTTCATGTCTTTTAATTTGATCCATGTAACTTCTGATCACCGTTCAATCTAATGTATCCCTCTAGTGCCACTTACCAAAGGGGTTTTAATTTATTAATTATTGACCCTCTCTAGTTGTATGTAGCTGGTTATCATGAATCTTTGACTGAGTAAAAGGTCGCTGCTTATGTATTTATCTATGGATGTCTCCAAACCTTTCTCCAAGTCACGCTAACCGATTGCAGTAACTCACAAAGAACCAAAAAAAATCGTTATACACTTGAACTAAACTAATTAGGACGGAATGCATCTCTGTAACTGAAACTCTAAATTCTCACCCGTCTTTCGCCGATTGCTTCTACATTCATGTTCAAACGATGCCCGGGTGGATCTGCTGAGAAATACTTATTTTAACAATAATGCACCCCGAATCGTTATACCAAGCTGCATAGCCAGTCTTTACTTGGGGTATCATGTCTAGAAGACCATTTGTGAAGCAAATTATCACCCAAGTCAATCTTGTTTTGATTGGTTTTATGCTTGTTTCGAAAAATTTTCTCCAAGGAAGAAGGAGTTCTAGCAGCCTGAAGCACATCAAACTCCTAGTGTGTGATGCCCCAATATATGCGATGAATCTGAATTCAGCTCAAGAGATTTTTTTTATTCTTTTATCAATGGTGAGATTTCTTTATCCAACCCTGTAGAAATATGACGAGTGTTTTTTACGACATTTGCCAAATGTATAAGAAATGGAGGGAAATGATTTTCCAAGGATGCCAAAGTTTAGTGTACAGCATTGGAGGGTTAGAGTGAACAGCTATCCAAAATCCCAAAGATCGAAGTATCTACACTCAACATGAACCGTGATCAAGGGCGCGATCAGGGGGGAGGGGGATCCGCGATAGTAAAAATACTGTAGGATTGATTTTAAGGGAAATGGGGGGTAATCACATGATGCATGCAAACAGAGACAACAGCGATTTCAGAAAAAACATTTGCCGAGGTCAGTCTTTTGAAGAGATATTTATCACACACAATCAAGCAGTTGGAATAACTTGATTTTTTTCTTGACTTGGCGGGAAGTTCAAGCCTATTGCTATTTTTTGAGTAACTCATAATCATCGGGGTGGAAATAATAAACAATTGAATATTGATTCTCCGTGCTTCCCTCTTCTGGTTTCAAGTATGTTAGCGGGATCGCAACCTTCATGTTTTGATTTCCAAGTGGCATCATATTCCCCTGCATGGGTGGTGCAGTGCGTTTTTTAGGATATTGAATGACTGCGGCATAACATTGAACGGGGAATGGATTGTTCGCATATACATGCCCGTCATCGTACACAGTGCATCGGGTGTCATAAAATTTTTCCCCCACCTTGTGACGGATTGGTTGACTGTAATATCCGGAGAATGGTTTGCCATTGTCCCAAAAGTGAACCTTAGTCTCATGCCTGATTTCCGGGTAGAGATTTATAGCTTGAATGATTGGCAAAGCAGTGAAGAGGAGGTATGCAAGTGCAACTGGGAATCTCATCTGGAAAGAAAAGAGTGAGTAATTTGTAGTGAATTTGGAAACATAAAACGAGCTGCTCACATTCGATTGATCAAAGAGCCAAGTGCAAAAAATTCTTGTTTTTGTGAGTATGTAATGCGACTCAGACCACGAAAACAGTATGGATGTTACTTGGGCAGTGATTTCCAATGAGAAGCAAACCCGTCCAGGGCTTTTATGTTCCAATAGCCGCATCAACTGCCAGGATCAACTTGCCCTCCTAAACTTTCTTCCGCTCCCATGGCCATGTGAAGAGTGAGAGTGAATCCCCGCATCCCTTGGTGAAACCGAGTCCCCACAGGTGCCTCAATTCCTCCAATGTTTTCGGAGCTTGAGACTCAGTCTTCAGATAAGGCCAAAGTGAGAACTCATTTGTATGGATTTACCACATGAGTTCATCTGTGCACCCGCCATGTCTAGAGTCTCACTTGAGACGGTCAATAATTGACCAGCTGACCCTTGGTGAAACCAAGTCCCCACAGGTGCCTCAATTCCTCCAATATTTCCAGAGCTTGAGACTCAGTCTTCAGATAGGGGTCAAAGTGAGAACTCATTTGTATGGATTGGTACCACTTGAGATGGTAGGGGGTTTCACAGCTGAGTTCAAGTGACTTGCAAAAATTTTTGCAGTCACTCTCATGCATGGTAATTTTCCAAAATGCCTTTTTCCTAGCCACATTGCAATGAATAGTGGGAGCTGAACATGCATGATTGTTGTAAAGATTCACTTTCAAAACCCTTTGCAAGGCATTTGCACTCAACACTGAATCCCACAGGTAAATAAGGACCAGCTGTTGATTTTTCAAGTGTTTTAAATGTAATCTCAAATGATCAATTGAGAAATAAGGTGTCATTCAAAATCATTATTGACCTTCTTTAGTTGTATGTAACTGGCTGTTATGGAGCTTTTTTCTGATTGAGAAAGGAGTCATTTTTTATGTAATTATGTATGGATAGATATCTCCACACCTCTCTGAAAGCCACACATACCAATTTCAGTCACTAAGAAAGAATCCAATAATTGTTGGAAACTTGTCCTAAACTAATTGAAATGGAATTTAACTCTGTAACTGACATCCCCAATTCTTGAATTTCCTTCTCCTATTGTGATTCCTGGATAGATCTTTTTGAGGAGTAATTATCTTAGTCAGAATTTAATCAAGACCATTGAGCCAGATTTTATAGACAGTGTGTCATGCCTAAAAGACTGTCAGACTACAGAAAAACACAAGTAACATGTCTTCTGATTGTCAGCATGAGAGCCAACATACTTACCTATTTATCCATAAGCATTATTTATAATTTGACTCCAGCAATGGATTCTGTATGCAATTCTGCCTGTATGCATCACTAATCACTTTCAATCTACTCTACTCCTTCAAAAATGTTTTCTTTTTAGCTCTGGTTTCAGTTTTCATTAGAAACTTACACCAGTGACATCTTCAGGGCCTTTTTTTCCCCTTCTGTGGCTGTAACACATGAGCCTGGTGTAACACATTGCAGAACCCTCATCTCACTTTACACACACTTTCCTATCCAGAGATCCATGTGCAACCACAGCCACATCCAACCCAAACTGCAGCAAATGACATTTTGACCAGAAGGAATTATGCAAGTGAAGCCGGGCTGTTAAAGAATATTAGCCCAAGTTTATATATGTACTATACAAGATTAATTGAGAGAGTATCTACAGGTAATCTGCAAACATCAATATAATAGGGTTTATGCTGCACACAGAAAATGAATATTTAGAGCAAAAAAAGCTGGGAGTGGGGTCCAATTAGGAGTGCAGACCAAAACCATTCAGAATAGTAAAAAAAAGCTGGAGGGCATTTACCTTATCATTTTTTGGTTACCTTCAGTATTTGGCAGTTTTTGCCTGAAATCCAACCATTTTGAATGTATTTGCTCTGCACACATAAACCTGACTCTGGCTGTTACTTCCTTATCCATATGGGTCCAGTCACTGCTGCTGGTACATTTCACATGTATTACACCAGACCTGGGAATGACACTACTCTCAGATCCTTTTCCCTTACATAGCTCTGTCAGCACCTTGGCATCAAGCTTTACTTCTGTGTCAACCAGTCAAAACTTGGTATGTTCAAAATAACCAAGGCAAAGTAAAATTTCCAACTCATACAGGTGTTTGGCAAGCAATTTGAAATTCAACAGACACTGGAGGTCATAAATTAATCTTACCTTTTTACTTTTTTGGCCTTCTCCATCACATAGTTCAAATTTACCAGGATTCTATGTTGATTTGCAATTATAATTATGACTATGAGAAGCTGTCACTTTTCAATTCCTGTGAATCTCAATTGGAAGGACATTGCAGATGAACTTTCACCAGCTGTTGGATAGGCCAGATATTGTGAAGCAGGTACATATTCAAGACAAAAAATAGACCTACTGAAATATCTGACCAAGTGACATGTCCCAGGTGTTTCATGTCATAATTTGTTTGTATTCCCCTTTCATGAATTTTATATTTTTCTGATTTAAGTGGTTGTGATTGAGTCTCAAGTGTGGAATATCAGGGCAGGAAAAGGGTGCTTGTGACATGTCAAAGTTTCAAGTTCCCTACTAGGATAAATAAAGGGCCTTAGTCAAAGTCCCAAATTTTGGGGACGTCCTGAGGAATGTCTGTGGACAGTCCTCAGGACAACAGCCCCCCTATTTTTTCCCCTGGTTTTTGGGAGTTGGTCCTCCAAACCCTTGGATTGGTTGGGGAGTTGACTCCCTAAAAAATAATATTCATTATTATTTTTGCTTTGAACCCCTGGGGTTTTTGAGACTTGATACTCCAAAACCCCATGGGGTTTTGGAATTGTCACTGAAGAAAAAAAAAAGGCTGGTAGATTCCTCCAGGCCATTGGAAGGCACATGGCCAGGAGGATTCCTACAGCGGTGGGCCGCTACGCTTTTGGCCCAAAAAGCGTAGCGTAGCGGCGCTTTTTTTCATTGAAAAACCGTAGTGTTAGCGGTTTTTTAGTGGTTTTTCGCTACGCTACGCTGCGCTACAGCGCTTTTAGCGGAAAAAGCGGCCATAAACCGCTAAA